TTATAGTTATAATAATATTTATCAATCTAAACTGCTGAATATGATTTCTACTTAATTAGTTAATTAGTAAAATACACAACACACCTGCACTGCTGCTGAAAATGTCTGTTTTTTTGTTTTTATATATTTATGATTTTTCTGTGTCTCTGTTCTATTTTGTGCAAATGAACGAACAGTAAAGTTTTATTTTATTTTATCTCACTTCATTTCAGATGGAGATATAAACCTTCACCCCGTCAGCTGTAGTTACAAGTTTATATTTATCTGTCTGCACAGAGATTAAACCAGGTGAAACACCTGTCCAGGTGAGTCAGCTGATTCTTCTCTCCTGGTTTCAATTAATTCATCAACACAACGAGGTGACACTATCAATAAATCAAGAAATTCACAATAAAAATCAAAGTTTAGAGAAAAGCTTAAAAAAAGTAAAGATTTGTGACTTTGTGTTTTCCTCTCATGACGCGTCACATTCATCAGCTGTTTCTTTATTTACATCATTTTACTGAAGTTGGGTTTTGATTTTGTTTGATTGTTTAAGTGAAACTTTAACTTGGATTTCTTTCTTTCTTTCTTTCTTTCTTTCTTTCTTTCTTTCTTTCTGTAGTTACAGTTTTATCTATTTTCATTCATTGTTAGAAACAAACAAAATAGCTGCAGCTGATTCAAGCTCTAAAACATGTTGCATTCTCAGAAATCTTAGTGTTGTTAATTATTAATGATTCATTAATTATTGCTTTGGTTTTTGTGGCAAAGTTTTTCTCAAACTTCTGTATTTCAAACTTCGGAAAAGATCTGAAAACATCGAAGAGTTTTAATGATTGTTGAATTTTAGAATAAATAATGAGACTAAGTGTCACTGACTCACCTGTTCACTCAGACACCTGTTTGCATCAGAACCTTTTTCAAACTTAAGCTGCTTTTTTTTAGTTTGTGACGCTGCTCTTTTCATGTTTTTATGTCACATGTACAAACGTGTTGTTGCTGTTGAATGTGACCTGCTCCCTGATCTGTGCAGAACTTCACTTCCACTTCTGCTGAAATGCACATTTAGGCCGTGACAAATAAATCACACAGGATGAAATACTGAGTGACAGTTCATCAGTTTCTCTTTCTGTCCGTCTCCCTGCTTCAGGACCATCTCCATGACGACTGATGGAGCCATCAGGTCTTTGATTGGTCGATGTGATGTGACCTATCACATTAACTCTGACTCTGGTAACCTGTAACACATCAGAACCCTGACACTGTATTTTACTGTTTACACCTGAACCTGAGGATTTACACTCCGGGCCAGGAGGGGGCGATACATGGTGACATGATGTAATCCACCTGACACCTGTGCACTGAGGTGGGGTGTTTTGAGGAGACCTGTGCAGGAGCAACAGTGAAGTCACATGATCCAGGTGAGTGTTTCAGTTTCATCTCACCTGTAGGACTGTTTGTTGTTGTTGTTGTTGTTGTTGTTGTTGTTGACGACACCTGCACAATCTGAGTCACAGCTGACTGCTTCTGTTTGTAGATTGACAGAACAGAAATGTTTCCTGTCACTAAACAAACAAACATGAGATTTAATTTGAGTGTGACGTTTAAGGACTCGTCTGGAGATGTTTTATGGTTTTTCATTCTCAGTCTCACACGACGTCCTGCTGCCACAAATATTCACCACAACACCACATGTGGATTAATCCGCCACTGAAAATAGTCCCCAACAAATGCTTCTGTTTGTTTGTGTCTGTCCACATTTTATATCTACTGAGGAGGAAAAACAACAAGCTGATGGTTATTGAAACTGTGTGTGTGTGTGTGTGTGTGTGTGTGTGTGTGTGTGTGTGTGTGTGTGTGTGTGTCGCCTGGCAATAGCATGTTTTGATCAGGCTTTTGCTGCCACCTGCTGGCTGCATGAGGTCTGACGTCAGCAGGATTTTCAAGTAAAAAAATCTATGAAATCAACATGAAAACATCTCAAGTAATCTGTGTTTGTGTAAATCAATCAATAAAGCTGAGATAGAGATAACAATATATCTAATAAATAGACAAAATTCAACTGGACAATTGAACAGAAGGAAGAAATGAATCACTGAGGGATGGAAGTAAAAGAGTAGAAACAAATCTTAGACTGTGAGGACGCTAAAATAAAATGAGTGGTTTGTTTCCTGGAATAAAGATCATTAAACAAGGACAAAAAAACACAAGCTTAATGAAATATAGAATTATACAAAATACAATTGATTGAATCCAACATTTAACATTTTATCAAAACAATTATACAGGAAAATAAAACAAAATAAAATGAAATATTAGAGGAAAGGAAGAGATGGAAACTCAGAGAAAGGTTTATTAAATGAAAAAAGAATCACTGCTGATTAATCATGTTTCACTGAAGCATGACGTCACTTGATGTTTTCATTGTTGATTTACTCTTTAAATGTTTGTCCTGTTTCTTTATCCGGAGTTTAAACGTGATCTTTCGTCTGGAATAACAGGATCGTTCCTGGAAGATTTTTACATCTTTGACTCGGGATTCAGTGTTTTGTTTTTTTACATGAGATTTTCTGACAATTAGAGCAAAAACAAAACAGCAGACTGGTCCTTTAACTCCAGAGCTGCTGTGTGTTTTCTTCTTCTTCTCTCCCTCCTCGTCCTTTTCTTCTTCGCATCCTCTTTTCTAGCAGCAGGTGACACATTATAACTGTCTGGAAGCTCTGAGCCCTCCCTCCGACATCAGCGCTCTGAGATCAGCTGACCTCTGAGATCAGCTGACCTCTGACACCAGCTGACCTCTGAGATCAGCTGACCTCTGAGATCAGCTGACCTCTGACACCAGCTGACCTCTGACACCGACGCACACAGAGGTGCAGTACATGAAGATGTTTCAATCCTGACGCTCGATTCAGCCTGAAGAAAATAAACATCTGATGATGTTGATGTTGATCATCAGGGACGTTCTGCACTTTTAACAGGTGACGTGTTGTTGTTGTTGTTGTTGTTGTTGTTGTTGTTGTTGTTGTTGTTGTTGTTCAGCTTGCATATTACATGTTGACTGAACTCATCAAAACAAGGTCATTAAACACTGACGCAGCATTTTAGGATCAAATCAGCAGGAAACAAACTCAGACGGTTCATGAGGGAAAATGTTCATAAAATCAGAAACTTTAAAGGAAACTTTCGACACGCAGAGAATCTGACAGGAACCACTTTGACCTTTTAGAGACGAGCGACGTGAATCTTTTCATGAACTGTTTGAAGATTGCAGCACCGTCACTCGCTCCCCCAGAGGTCACTGTTGATATCAAGAGAGCAAGAAGCTGCTCAGTTCACTGGATGAAGCACAGATTCATCTGAGAATTTGAACCATGACAAATGAAGTTCAGGTGAAATAATGAATCTTTAAACTGGATCACAGAGACTCGAGATCAGGTTCATGAAAGGCTCATTTTCTCAAAGTGAGGCTTTTGTTTTTCATTTGAGTCCTGAACAAACCAAAGACAAACTCACCGATTTTAAACCTTTCGTCCCTTAACAGTTACTTGTGACCCCCCCCCCCGAAGAATGAGATTTACTGATTACTTTCTTCCTCTCAGATAGTTTCATTTTAAAGAAGTATTTTACAAGAAACCACAAACATTTGCATCGAAAATAGAAAATAACATTTTTCTTCCGCTGCTTTTTTATTATTTAAATCATCTTGTGACCAAAGATCAGATTTATCTCAGTTCCTGATCTCCAGTCATGATATATATTGAAAATAACCAGCGTCCTCATAAAGTCATTAAATGTTCAACAAATCCTTTTATACCAAACTCCATTTTTACAGTTTTAGTTTTAAGACTCAAAGGTTTTAGGAATATTGTAACTTTAGCTTTAATTAGTACAACACGCATTTATTGTTAAAATATTACTTCTAATAATTTAATATCTTTTTAAAAGGCCTTTAACGAGTTTTGATTTTCTTTAAGCAGCTTATTAAAACAATTATTCAGGACTTTTCCGACAGGAACAAGAGATATTAATAGGAATTTTAATCTGAGATAAAGAGAGAAACTTTCCCAGATTTCAGTTCATTAATGATTCTGATTGAAATGATCCTATTGGCTGTGAATCAAAACATCAGTGATCAATGAAAGTCTAACATCTGGATGATGATCAGGATTCTGTTTTTTATCTTGTTCCTCTCAGAAACTCTGCAGCAGTTTGAAGTTTGAATTTGAAACCATTTCAAAATGCATGAAATTATTCATAAAATTCATATTTTGCTAATTGATGAAAACAATATTGATCAGATTTCTGTACAGATCAATAAATTCGCGTCACCGGTCTGAAAGTGTGGAATGACAGAACAGACTCCTGCGTTTATTCACCGTCATAAATATCCAGTTTATTACAAAACAACTCACAACGCAACATTATAAATAGATTTACAAAACACAGGGCGACGACTTCTCGCGATAAAAGTGACTCTTCTGCAGCAAACACAACAACAAATAAACTCACAGAAAATCTCCAAAAACAAACAAACAAATAAACAGATAAACAAACATTTGGTTTGATCCGCTTTCTGATCAGTTCAACTTCAGTGTTTGTCCACGTATTTAACAAGAGGCCGAGCAGCTTCATCAGGCGTCACAAATAAAAACAATAGAATCAACAGATGAGACAGAAAAACAGATTTTAGGGGAAATCGCGTCTAATCGATTAAATTCTCTAAAACGGAACCGGAAGCCAGCAGGAAGAAAATAAGAAATTAAGACGTGCTTTCAGATTGTGTTTCTGCTCCTCTTTTCTTCTGCCTCGTTTCAAGACGCATCTCGTTTCTGGAAAAGATCATTTTTCTGAATTAAAGCAAACTCCCGCAAATTAAAGCGGGAATTTTCTCACTTTCTGAAGTGTTATTTATCGATCAGAGGACGGATCGATCACTTTCAGGCCGAACTCGAGCCTGAAAGCCGTGGACTTCTTCTTCGTGTGGAAACGTGTCTCTCGGTCAGAGAGTTGCTCCGGCTTCACCAGCTCCAGTGGTACATGTGCGCCAGCTGCTGCACCCCTGGGTGCTGCTGCGGCAGGCCGGGGTGCTCCGGGCCGTAGGCGGGGTGCAGCAGCGGGGAGTAGGCGCACAGAGGCAGGCTGAGGCCGGACCCGAGGGTCGCCTCCAGGTCCTGCACTATGATCCGGTCGCAGGGCATCCCGTCCCGCACCAGGACCGGGATGGTTACGCGGCGGCCCGGCAGCAGCTGCAGCGCCTCCAGGCTGCGCTCGGTCCGGGCGCGCTTCATCTTGTAGCGGTGGTTCTGGAACCAGATCTTCACCTGGTTCGGGGTGAGGCGGATCAGCCCGGCCAGGTGCTCCCGCTCCGGGGCGGACAGGTAGCGCTGCTGCCGGAAGCGGCGCTCCAGCTCGAAGGTCTGCGCCTTGGAGAAGAGCACGCGCCGCTTCCTGCCGCGGCTCCTCTGCGCGTCGCCGCCCGATGAATCCCGCTCCGCGTCCGGGGACTCGTCCGTGGAGAGGTCGGGGGATTTGGGCTCGGTGCGGGACTTTAAGGACAGACCGTGTACTGCAGGAGGAGAAGTGACCTGGTTACTCTCTGGACCTGATCACCCTGAAACACAAACTCCCACCAAGAGCCAGTTCTTTAAAAACACTGAACCTGCTCCTTCTCTCACACACACTCATTTTAACCTTTAACATTTACAATCCAACACAAACACCTCCCGCCCTGAAGTTTGTTTTCATTCACAAAAACACAGATTGTAACTTCACCGTGCGTCCTGGTGTTTGGACACGCGGCTGTCCTGAACATCAGCAGCAGCTGTGAACGGAGTGACTGAGGTCACCGGTTAATATTCATAATGAGGTGATTGTTTCATTATTAAGAAATTAGAATATCACGTGAATTGTTCATAAAAAGAGACAAAGACAGTTTCCAATGACGCGCGTGTCCGAGCTGCGCTGAGGATGAACTGATGATTGATGTTTAGAACAACAGAATGAGAGAAGAGGGATTCACCAAGTGTGTGAAGTAGATATCGATACTTTGGCTGATTAATATGATTTTAGAGTCAGAAATGAGATGAAAATGACGTGACACATGAGGGTTTACATGTTTGTGTTTGAAGCTGATCTCCTCACATGAGAAGTGCAGGTTACCGGATCCGCAGCTCCACCTGCCGAGGTTCCCGCCGCCGCCGAGCTCGCACAAACTCCGGCCGCTAAATCCCAATGTCTGCGGGTTTCCCGCGCCCGGAGCCTCCGCGGAGGCCTCCTCCTTGTCGTCCTCCTCCGCCTCCTCGGTCCCGGAGCAACCGCACCTCCCCGTCGGGTCGGGGAGATCCAGGATGTCCCGCACGGAGAATCCCGTTTTAGTGTTGGTGGTGCCGGAAGACATGACGCGGGAAAAGAAAGAGAGAAAGAAGGAAGAAGAAAAAGTTCCAGGTTTGATTCCCGCGGTGGTTCAGCGGCTGCAGCCGGTCACAGCGGAGGCTCTGCGGCCATGGAGGGCGTGAAATGGAGCGGGACCCCGGAGCTGCACGAGCCGAGCTGCACGAGCCGAGCAGAGAGGAGCTGCACGAGCCGAGCTGCACGAGCCGAGCACAGAGGATTTAACAGGATGAAAAAACTGAGAGAGTGTCCTCCGTCCTTTTAACGACCTGTGTGTGTGTGTGTGTGTGTGTGTGTGTGTGTTGTGTGTGTGTGTGTGTGTGTGTGTGTGTGTGTGTGTGAGAGAGAGAACGGGGGCGGGTCCCGGGAGTCAAGAGGATGAGGGTGTGAAGAAGAAACAGTTGAGGGAGGAGATGAATGTTAAATGATGGAGGATTAGAAAGAAAGAAACGACTCATTTCCACTGATCCGCTTCCTGTTCGTGTTGAACACAGATCAGTTTAATCACATATGATATATATTGTAATAAATCTTATTGTTGTTGTTTTGATAATATTATTGCGAGTTTACATCCTGTTGAAGCTTTTGAAACAGTAGAAATGAACCTAATAAATAAATAAATAAAAATACATTGACAATCAACATAAAATGTATTTTATTCAACAAAATTGGAAAAATTTCATTTATTTTCACAGTTTTGTAAATAAGAAATAAACAAACAAAGATATATAAACAAATGTAATCAAATAAATAAAAAGTCAAATTTCATAAGTAGAAATTTAGAAATAAAAAATAAAAACACAACAAAATGAGAACTAAGGATGTAAATATCTTTTCCATTCACACAATTCAGGAATGAATATTTATATAAAAAAATCTAAAGCTTTTATTTATTTATTATTTTGTTGGTCTAAAATGAAATAATAAAATTTAAACATTGTTTTTAAATGACGAATCATCTTCAAAAAGCTCAACGTGTAAAAAGTGAATGAATGAGTTTGAATAAAGAAAAAGAAGACGTGGTGTCTACAGCTACAGTCCTGTGTAAACACACAGGAATAAAGTCAATTAATATAATTAACAAAAACAACATTATTAACAAGCTATTACATTATAAAACGATGAAATCTGTAAAACAAAAAACTGAAAGTCGTTTAGCAGCAAACTGTCTTTGTCTCAATGTCTCAGTGTCTCTGCATCTGTGTCTCTGCGTCTCTGTCTCAGTGTCTCTGTATCTCAGTGTCTCTGTGTCTGTATCTCAGTGTCTCTGTATCTCAGCGTCTCTGTGTCTCTGCGTCTCTGCGTCTCTGTCTCAGTGTCTCTGCGTCTCTGTATCTCAGTGTCTCAGTTTGTCTGTGTCTCTGTATCTCAGTGTCTCTATATCTCTGTATCTCTGTATCTCAGTGTCTCTGTGTCTCAGTTTGTCTGTATCTCTGTATCTCAGTGTCTTAGTGTCTCTGTGTCTGTATCTCTGTATCTGTATGTCTCAGTGTCTCTGTATCTCAGCGTCTGTGTCTCAATGTCTCTGTGTCTCAGTGTCTGTGTCTCAGTGTCTCAGCGTCTCTGTGTCTGTGTGTCAGTGTCTGTGTCTCTGTGTCTGTATCTCAGTGTCACAGTGTGTCTGTGGCTCAGCGTCTCTGCGTCAGTGTCTCTGTGTCCCTGTCTCAGTGTCTTCGTATCTTAGTGTCTCTGTGTCTCAGCATCTTTGCGTCTGTGTCTCAGCATCTCTGTGTCTGTGTCTCAATGTCTCAATGTCTCTGTATCTCAGTGTCTCTGTATCTCAGCATCTCTGTGTCTGTGTCTCAGCGTCTCTGCATCTCTGCGTCTGTGTCTCAGCATCTCTGCGTCTGTGTCTCAGTGTCTCAGCATCTCTGCATCTGTATCTCAGCGTCTCTGCGCGTGTGTCTCAGTGTCTATGTATCTTAGTGTCTCTGTGTCTCACCGTCTGTATCTCAGTGTCTCTGCGTCTGTGTCTCAGCGTCTGTGTCTCAGTGTCTCTGTATCTTAGTGTCTCAGCGTCTCTGCGTCTGTGTCTCAGTGTCTATGTATCTTAGTGTCTCTGTGTCTCAGTGTCTGTATCTCAGTGTCTCAGCGTCTGTGTCTCAGTGTCTCTGTATCTTAGTGTCTCAGCGTCTCTGCGTCTGTGTCTCAGTGTCTCTGTATCTTAGTGTCTCTGTGTCTTAGCGTCTGTGTCTCAGCGTCTCTGTATCTTAGTGTCTCTGCGTCTGTGTCTCAGTGTCTATGTATCTTAGTGTCTCTGTGTCTCAGCGTCTGTGTCTCAGTGTCTCTGTATGTTAGTGTCTCAGCGTCTCAGCGTCTGTGTCTCAGTGTCTCTGTATCTTAGTGTCTCAGCGTCTCTGCGTCTCAGCGTCTGTGTCTCAGTGTCTATGTATCTTAGTGTTTCAGCGTCTCAGTGTTTGTTTTGAGGATTAACTGAAGCAGCAGATGAAGAGTCTCAGTGTTTACTCTCATCAGCTGATCGACTGACTCCACTCAGCTCTCACAGCTCTGTCGTCCTGTCGTCCAACCGTCTGATCAACAACTCAACGCTCAGACTTCTTCATTTTAAAGAGAAATCATTTTGTCTCAAGAGACACATTCACGTTTTTTATCCTGTTTCTATTTTGTTGTTTTTCTCCTCATTCTGTTTCATTCATTCATTAGTTTGTCTGTTTTCATCCAGGTTTAAAAACTGACGACAGCAGCTGCCAGTGAGTTACAGGTGAGTCTCTACAAATCCTTTAATTAACCAATCACAGACAGCTCGTTATCAGCTGTTTGGAACCTTGACAGAAACTTTAAAGTCGTTTATCAAAATCTTTCGTTCCAAACTCTTTTTTTTTATATTCTAAACTGAAACTCTTTGAAGTTTCTATTTAAACTTTATTAATGTGTTGGAGGCGTCACTTGATGCTCTGACATATTAAGTCTTTATTTTAATGATGAAATCAGTCACAGCTGCAACAATCGATCCATTCATCAGTCAATCCAGAGAAAATTCATCAATCATTTTAAAGTAAAATGATCATAAATGTGAGAATCTTTAATAAGACATTTATTCTCCCTGCAATCATTCAACGGTTTCAGACAATTACATTTTTTAACTTTGCAGTTAAAACCATAAACTGTTGCATTTATATTTATATTGTATATTTTAACTATAACTTATAAAACTATAACTTTATATTTCTTGAAATAGGAAATATGACATATTTATTTCATAGTATAAGGACACATTTTTACATTTTATGTTTCTATTTTATCTTTATAATCTTATTTCTTATTCTCCGTTCTTTGATGTTACATTTCCATTCTCGAGGGAGCAACTGCAACGTCACCTAATTTCCCCCTGGGGATCAATGAAGTATTCTGATTGACTGATTGATATTTTTAGGTTTTGAACTGTTGATCAGACAAAACAAGACGTTTAATAAAATCTTGGGTTTCTGTCTATAATAATGTAAATCTGGACCTTACCCTGGAAAGTGACTTGAGATAATGGATATTGTGATTTGGGGCTAAATAAATAAAATGGAATTGAATTGAAATCATGTTGCACTTCAGGAAAGACATTTTCACTGTTTTCTGATCTTAATTAATCAGCATATTCATCTTTAATAACATGATCAGTTGAAGCCTGAAAAGAAATAGTTGATAAAGGAAATAATCATTTTCTGTTCGATATGTTTGTCTAATGTCGTTGATCATCTCTCGGTTCCCAGAGGAAACAGACTCCTTCAGATTTGTCTTGTTTTTACGAGACAGAGTTTCTATGTTTGGTGAGTTTTGCTTTCCATTTGCTGCATGTCTGTGTGATGTGTGTGACAATGAGCTGAGCTGTGTGTGTGTGTGTGTGTGTGTGTGTGTGTGTGTGTGTGTGTGTGTGTGTGTGTGTGTGTTGGATCCTGCTGGGTGGTCGAACTCTGCAAACAAACACACGACTGGCCAATGCCCACAAAGACCGCACAGCCTCCACATTTATCCCATTTATTCCCCCTGAACACTTTATAATGGCCTGACTGACACATACACACACACACACACACACACACACACACACGCACACGCACACGCACACTCTGCTGGGAATACATGTGAGGCTGCTGGGAGTTGTCATGGTATTCAGACTGCAGCCTTCAATAGTCTTTATATTCATGACCACACACACAGTTTAACACATTTCACTGGGCGACATGTAAAAACACCTGAGTGGATTTAAACACGATTCATAGAATAAAAAATGTAACTTATCAAATTTGTAGTAAAACAAAAAACAAATGTGTAACATTACAGATAATAACATTGCAAATTTACAAAGTGTCATAAATTAGAATAGAAACAAGTAAAGTTCAATTAAATCAATTCAATTCAAAATCAAAACAAAGATTTAATTAAATAAGATAAATAAAATCAAAATAGATAAAGTAAACGTAACTAGAAAGAAAAGAAAAGAAAATATGTAAAAATCAAAATACCAAAAATAAAATAAATATGTTATTAAAAAGAAATTGAAAAACAAAAAAAGTATTGGTAAAATGAAAACAAATGGAAATTAAATGGCACTAAAATGAAAACAGAGTTTATAATAAGACAAAATGAATCAAATGAATGAAAATGTAAATAACATTAAAAAATTGTTTAAATTAAATATATAAAAAATAAAATAACACATTGAAAGTAGAATAAAATAAAAACTGCATGAGACATAAAAAAGATAAAATAAATAGGTCTGCGGTAAATAAGACAAATGTGTCACTGATTTTTCCCAGATTCGTTTTTATTCCACTCAGACACAATAATGTGACAGTAGGTTTTCTGTTTTGGTTTATTTTTAATGTCTGCTGTGATGAAGTCGTGGAGTCATGAAATTATTTGAAACTTCTTAAAAACCTTTTTTTGGCATTTATTTTCCCACTAAACTTGATTTTCAATGAAAAATAATTTTATCATCCACTGTACTTACACTAACACACAACATCACACACTGGGGTCCTAAATGTCTCCTAATCAGAAAGAAATTAAATATTATTTAATCCTAAAAACACAAAAAATAAAATGACAAATCTTAGTTCCCCTCAGAAATTCTTTAATCTGACATTTTAGAAACATAAAAAAAAATCCCTCAGGCAGCTTTAGTAAGACTTTAATTTGTCCACCTTCAAACCACCCGACCCGTCTGTCCAACCCTGAGCTCAGACTGCCCCCTGCTGCCTGACTGGGGAACTACAGTCCATTCAACATGGAGAAAACTCAGTTCAGAGGTGGGAACAACATGAAGACAGGAACCTTAAAACATATAAAGAAAAAGGCTAAAGACATTTTGAGAAAGAAATTAAAGAAAATATCCAAAGAAATTAGATGTTTTGTTTGTCTGAAAAAATTAAAAGTGTTACATTTTATTATTGATAAAATAAATGAAGAATAATCAGAGTAGAGATTATTCTTAATTTATTTTGAAAAGGTTTGCAGGAAATTGTGCGTGCAATTATGACGTTTTTACATTCTGCAATTTATTCTACTAAAACTAATCTTTCTATAATCACTCGCTCCTGTGAACAAATATTTATCCATCTTTATGTTATTATTGAAAACTTTATTCTTCACATGTTGAAGTGTTTGTTTACTTGTCGACAAACTCTCCATCTTTACAATGTCAGGTGTGCTGAAAAGACACTTGTTAAATTGGAAATGAATTGGAATCAGCTGACAGGAAGTGGATCAGTGAAGACATGAAACGAGCTGATTGGTGTCAAATTCCCTGGAAAACTGTAATGCAGGAAATGTCCAGAAGGAGGCGCCATTGCATTAGAAATACACAGAGAAGTCCCCACACTGCTGATAAATCTGTCTGTGACCTCAGAGTGTTTTTAATGTGACTGTGTCATGTGACGAATCAGCTGGTCTCAGGAAATGGTTCATGAGTTTTTGAGTGTGATGTCACTTGATGGACGACTGTTCACACAAACATCTCGTCCAGGCCGCTGACGGGAACCATCAGGAGGAGTTTAGTCTACGCACTTACTAGCTTTCTTTCCCAGAGCTTTCTGTCATCCTGTGACCTCAGTGAACTTCAGTCTCGTCGTATATGAATATGTTACTAACATGTGTCTGTTGATCTTCTCTGGTGCCAGGTGTGAACGTCCTCCTGACGCCGCCTCAGGTCCCTTCACTGAGAAGATGAAGACGTTCAGACAGCTGAGAGACAAACGTCCAGGTTCATCAGAGGATGAATCAAACTGTTTGAAACATCCATCAGAGTTTACAGACCTGGTGTATTTACTGTCACTGTGTCTCTCTGGATATCATCCTGTTCCCACATGGAGGCTACTAACCTGGTGCATGGATTATAGATGGGGCCTGCCGCCACAGGTCCAGGAGGTCCAGGAGGTCCAGGAGGTCAAGGAGGTCCAGGAGGTCCAGGAGGTCCAGGAGGTCCAGGAGGTCAAGGAGGTCCAGGAGGTCCAGGAGCTCCTGTGTCTCTGTGTGAAGTGACTGTTAACATTTCTTCTTTGAAAGTCACGGAGCTCAGATCAAAGAGAAAAAAACAATGAATTTAAAGAGAAACAAAACAACCAACAACTTAAAGAGATAAAATGATTAAAGAGACAGAAAATGAACTTACAGAAATATAAAATGACAAAAGGATGGAAAACAAAGACACAAGACAATAACAACAGATGTTGTTTTGTCTCTTTCAGTCTTCTGAGCATCATCTGTCACTTTAATCTTCCTGCTTCCTCTCTCTCTCTCTCTCTCTCTCTCCTACAGGGTGTGGTTTCAGGTGTGTTCAGGTGTTACAGCTTCATGACACACTGTGAGGATTTTTATTCAGATCATAGTTTCTGTGTTTTACAGACTCTGTCCCTGTGTCCCTGAAGCAGCCGCAGTAACAGCTGATTGTCCCGGGCTGTGTCTCCTCCAGTCAGTCTGTGATGATGTGTTCAGTGTCAACATGTAAACCACAGAACGAATGAAAACGCAGCTTTAAAACGCACCAAAGAGCCCTTCAGGAACCCTCGTTCTTCTGGGCGCCTGTCTGCTCTGCAAACAGGAAATGATGACATGGTTTCCACCCGGAGGAGGAGGAGGAAGAGGAGGAGGAGGAGGAGGAGGAGGAGGAGGAGGAGATGATGATGGCTCAGAGTCTCAGGCTGCAGACGTAGCGCTGGATGGTGGAGCGGTGAGACACAGTGCACGGCAGCTGATGGGTGAGACAAGACAAACTGAACTTTTACATTAAACAGAGTCAGAGAGAGAGAGAGAGAGAGAGAGTCCATGTCAGAGCAGGAGGAGGTCTACTCTGTGTTTTCAGAAAGACGAGCTTCATGGAGAAAAGACGTGTCAAATGTAATTTAATGGAAACTTGGATGAAGTGAAGATGTGATCTCCTTAATCAACAATAATTCAGGAAACATGATGATGATTTTCATTCCAGTGCATCTGAGGAAAGTTAAAAACTGTACAAAACTGTATTTACTGTGGCACTTAAAGTTTGTTAAATGTCTAAATGTGCAAAAGAAAGAAAGAGAGAGAGAGAGAGAGAGAAGGCCTGATGCTTTTCCACAAACAGCAGCTGCTGCAGAATTTCACATATTTCTTATTTTCTAATTCATGATTTCGGCACAGACTTTCTTTCTGTGGTTGTTTCTAATTTTAGCTGATTGTTTTTGCATCTTTGACTCAGTGAGATGAAACTGAAAACACACTGCTGAGTGAAAACATCATGAACTGGCTTCAGCTTTTCAGAAACTAATTACAGAAAAAATGGAATACAACTGTATTATTATTTTAATTATTATGATTATTATCGTTTTATAATAACTATAATAATAATAATAATTATTATTATTATCATCATCATCATCATTATTATTATCATTATCATAATTATGATCTTAAAAATATATCATTATTATTATTATTATCAGATCCATATTTTCTGCAGTTAAAGTTTTGTTAAAATGAAGCAGGTCAGTGTTTTCAGTTCATCAGATGAGTTACACAGAAAAACTCGGTCAGACTCTTCAATGATCAGAATAAACAAATAAACTGCTGAGTAACTACAGCAAATATAAACTGACAAAAACAAGATCTTTTCTTCCTGAAGCAGCTTTATTTTTACAGATCTGAGATTTAATTATATAAGCTCATTTAAATCTTACACTCTCTATAAAATTTAAAGTTTTTCTGATTTTTATTTCATTCGTGTGCAATAAAATCAAAGAAAATCATCTAATAATTCTTCGTTTTTTAAATTATTTCTTAAGATTTTAATAATTACGTTTAAACAAAAACATGTTTTAAGAAGCTGCAGCCAGGTTGAATTCGTTAGTTGAATATTTAGTTGTTTTGTCATATTTCACTTTAAATTAGAGTTTAAAAAAAAAATCATAACTGAACAAAAATCAACATAAACAGAGCAGAAGGCCCTGGAACTGCAGGTGGTAAACCCCGTGTATCCTCCCTGTGTGCAGAGCAGAGCTACGGGGAGGTGAACCAGCTCGGCGGGGTGTTCGTTAACGGCCGGCCGCTGCCGAACCCGGTCCGGCTGCGGATCGTGGAGCTGGCGCAGCTCGGGATGCGGCCCTGCGACATCAGCCGCCAGCTGCGGGTCTCTCACGGCTGCGTGTCCAAGATCCTGGCCCGCTATAACGAGACCGGCTCCATCCTGCCCGGAGCCATCGGCGGCAGCAAGCCCCGGGTCACCACCCCGGTCGTGGTCAAGAGCATCCGGGACTACAAGCAGGGAGATCCGGGGATCTTCGCCTGGGAGATCCGGGACCGGCTGCTGACGGACGGGGTCTGTGACAAGTACAACGTCCCGTCCGTGAGCTCCATCAGCCGCATCCTCAGGAATAAGATCGGGATTCAGCCGAGTCAGTCCGAGGGAGACAAGCCGGCTCCGGCTCCGCTCCAGTACGGACACGTCTACCCGTACCCCCCCTACACCGGGCCCGGGGTCTCAGCCACCGGCACCAGGACCGGCAGCGGGCCCGCCGGACACGTCGGCCTGCCGCGGAACTGGCACAACATCCTGGGCATCCGAGCTTTCATGGACCCGGCAGGTCGGTGGAGACACTTTAAAACTGTTATTAACTCCTGATTTATTTAAAGTCCACATTTAAATCCTTCATTTAAACCTTTAAACATCCAGATCTGTGTCTCTAAACTCTTTAACGTTTAAAACTGCGTTTACATCCTGCCTTCAATTTAAAGCTACAAACAAACAAACAGTCATTTTATGTTCAGAAACATTTCCGGTGAGTTTTGTCCAAGTCAAATATAAAATGTTTTTATATTGTTTTTTGTTCAGTTAATTGTTGGATAGATTTATTTTCATATTTCTGCAGCTACATTATAAAGAATAAATTCCTTCAGGTTAATTGTAAATAATTCATTGTTCATGTTGTACAAAAGTTAATTTTGAATCCTGGAATCAGCCAGAAAAACGTTTTTAAATGTAGAAATCCAGGTTCAGTGAAGTTACTAAAAGTAGAATTATAAAGTAAAAATCTAATTTAATGTATTGGAAATATTACTTATTGAAAATAAACCACCTTATATAACTGCCATAAACAACTAGCTAGGCTACATAAACATTTAACATCTTAAATCGCATAATAAACAATTAATATTATTATTAATCATTATTTTCTCCTTTGTGTTTTTAATGTTTTAAAGTTTTTCTTTGTCTCTGGGTTTGAACATAATATCACATTATTATTATTATAATTATTATAATTATTATTATTATAATGGGATCTCATGGGAAATCATGGAGTAATATTTATTATATATATATATTATATATTTAACCAGGTCTGAAATCTACAACTAAAATCTTCTCCTGTTTTCTATTAATCTAATCTCATTTTATCTTTTCATTGTTCCTCACACAGTCATTCAGTTTAGTTAATACGAGAGAGAGAGAGAGAGAGAGAGAGAGAGAGAGAGAGAGAGAGAGAGAGAGAGAGANAAATCTACAACTAAAATCTTCTCCTGTTTTCTATTAATCTAATCTCATTTTATCTTTTCATTGTTCCTCACACAGTCATTCAGTTTAGTTAATACGAGAGAGAGACAGAGAGACAGAGAGAGAGAGAGAGAGAGAGAGAGAGAGAGAGAGAGAGACTTATTTCTGTCGTGGTCAGTTTTGTCTTGGTGGTTAACTGGATCCAGAACTTGTTACCATGGCAACGCTAAAAACCCTGCTGGGTCCACGTCTTTGGCTTCCTCTGTGTGATCAACATCAGTTTTTAAAGACGTTTTCAAAGCTGCAGAACTTTAGTTTGTTTTTGTTGTTTTGACAGATGAAAGTTTTTTCCTCTCAGACACAGAAACAGCAGATTGTGATTTATGCAAATGAAAAAGTGTGAAAGTGTCTGAGGGCTGAGCTGCTGGTTTGTATATGACAGGCTACTTCCCAATAATTCAAACATCATAATGTCTCTCTGGTTCTGCTTTACTCCTTAAGTCTTAAAGTCGTCACTCTAAAACATCTTCATTATGATTTGAATTTTATTGAAGAAAAATGTAAGTGACGCATAAAAAACCTCAAGTTTTCAAGTTGATGTCATGAAGCCGTTTCCCACAAACTGAGACCTGCAGCTGAAATTCAAAAACAAGACGTTGTTTCTAACTTCAGCGGCAGCAGCTGAAGTCACATCACAGAATCCATCAACAGCTTTCACACTGAGACTCACAGAAGAAACTAAACTCCTGAGACTGAACATGTGGAGAAAATAAAACATTTTTAAAAACATCTGTTCATAATGAAACTGTGGTGGAAACAGAACAGATAGTTGGAGCTGAAGTCCTTTAGTCTGACTTTTAAACTCAAGTCAGAAAATCTATTTGTATCATTTTCTGTTTCTGTCTTTATTTATTTACAGTTTATTAAATATGAACAAACAAAATGTGCAAATACAAAGATAAAGCAGAAAGAACAGTACAGAGACATGAATATTTACCTTTTAGCATTATATATTTAATGTTTAAAAATCTCTCCTATAAACTGATGAACTTGTGGATCAACTTTACCTTTTTCAAAATGTTGAAAAATTCCTGTAATTTTTATAAAAAGCAGTTTGTTTTTCACACGTTCCGATTTGATAAAATCACTTTTTCCAACAACAAAAAAAACCCATTTTTTCTTCAGGGTCACTGGTTGCTGACATCTTTTTTTAAATAGACTGGTAATTCTTCCCTTTTAAATCATATACTAAAAAAATGAATACAGTTTTTCACAAGCACACAAAGCAGAGCCAACACTCTCAGATTATTCATGTTAAATTGAATTAAGTTTAAATTGTTAATCCAGTCTACACTGTCTGTTCAGCTCTGTCTGGACCTAATGGACACTCGGCCAAAGTGGAGGACTGGACCAGTATGACCAGTATGACCAGTATGAGCAGTATGAGCAGCAGAGCGTTTCCCTCTGGAATAAATGGAGCAGAGAAAATCAACAACGAGCCGGACTTCAAATACCCACAGCAGGTAAGAGACGTACAGATCAATCAGTTATTGATCTTTAGTTTCAACTTGAATTTTCTTTTCATGCTGGTGTGTTTCCATTTGCTCGCTCTGTTTTACTTTTGAGGCACTATTTGGCTTCCTGGTAGTTTATTACCAGAGCTCTGATTGGCTACCATCATCATCCTCATCATCATCATCATCGTCATCATCATCACAGCCGTCTTGATGTTTTCCTGTTTGTTTTGGGCTGAACTACAAACAGCTGACTGTGGATCATATGGAAGATAAAAACACGAGGTGGATGTTTGTGATCAGAAAAACCTTCAGTTTACGAACAAGTAAAATAAAGGCTGTGCTTCTCCTGGTTGCCATGGTTACCTGCAGTTTAACATACACTCAGGTCTGATTTAGACCAGCTGTTCAGTATTTTTCATTTAGGACAATATTGTAAAACCAGAGTAATCACAGTATTATAAATAAAACATTTGCAAACTTTTTGTAAAGTGACAATATTTTTATGAAGTTTGAACATTTGTGGACATTTTTGGATTCTGTGACATTTATTGGCAATTTTTTAAAATAAAGGTGATTTTTGGCAAAATTAGTTCATTGGTGGAAAGTGAAGACAGTTTGGATTTAAGAACATGTTTTTCAAAGTGAGGAGTTTTTTGGACATTTTTAGAGATGTGGATTTTGGGGGATTTGAGAACATTGTAACGTGAGGACATGTCTGGAGATTTCAGTCCAGTATATTTTGGCAGGTAAAGATCCTGTTGCACAGCAGATATATATTCAGTCTTGTCCTCACAACGAAGAGACAAGAAAGGAAAAACATTCAACAGGAAACTAAATATATTGTGTCCGTCGGTCTGTTCAACGTTCTGATTGGTTGGATCGTCCAGCCTGATTTCTAAACAAACCCAATCTAATCTGCTGCTGGTTGTGAGAGTGATTTTCTTTTAACAAACATGTACGATCGTCATGTTTCTGTTTATTTCTGTCTTTTCCTCAGTCCTCGTCCAGTCTGTCTGGTTACGTCTCAGCTTGTGCGTATTCTCCACCAAACCAGTACGGTGCGTACGGAGGTCCAGCAGCCAACTACATGAACACCGGACACCACTGGCAGCCTCACTCCTCCAGTCTGGCTCCCAGTCTGGCTCCCAGTCTGGCTCCCAGTCTGGCTCCCAGTCTGGCTCACCCCGGCTCTGCAGCACCGCTGGAGGCCACAGATTTTCACATCACGACATCTTTCAAACTTTCACAAAGAGAAGGTGAGACTGACTCCTTGAGGTGTGGAAGATGTGATCCAGATGTTTTACGTCCAGAATGACAACAAACCAACCAGAATTATTTCAATAGAAGTCAGGGCCATGTTTTTGAGACATCGGTAACTCCACATTCCTCTCCCAGCCCACTGTTGATATTCACGGTTGTATTTTAGTCTTTTGGGGGCCGGAGAGTTTGTGGTCTGGCTGAAAATTACAAATCTAAATAACATCCTGTGTTGGAAGCTATAAAAACACATCTGAGGAGCTGCTGCTGTTTCTGCGCTCAACAGCCACTAATGTGTGTTTCTCAGGGAGAGGGTTGGTCGTGTTGAGTCTTTAGTTAGTAGGTTGCACATAAAGCATAAAATACAGACGATATAATGCATCATATCTGCTGCGTGTGAAGAGTAATGATGCAAACAAACCTGATAAATGTGGCTCATTCAGCTGCTGAAGAAGACAAGAAATTAAAAAGCAAAACATGCTAATGTAGGTTTAATGATTCGTATCAGACAATAAATCTCAATATGTTTCAGTGTTTTCATGCTGCAGAAAAAAAGAGTTTGACATAGTTTGAAATTTTAACTGGAAAAGAAAAGTTTGAAATAACGATTTCCCACCAGCTGTTTCAATAAAAGGATCATTATCAGTGGTGTCGCCTGAGTTCAGCAGGTTGAGGGAAACCTGAACAAAATATCTTGATAAATATCAAGTCATGAAATAAATGCAATAAATCATGATAGTATTATTCCTGTGTCTGTGGTTCCCAACCTGAGAGCTGGGTCACCTGAAAGCATCACAACTTTCTCAACAAAGAACTAAGAAATAAAGACATTTAAATTACATTCAAAAAAATGTTTTCTTCTATAATCTTTGTTTTTATAAATTGCAAATTACTTGATAGTTTTACCTTCCTGGGCTTCCGTAGCTTCTGGACTGGAGCATTTGTTGCTAAATAATTGTCTCTTTGGGAAAAACCACTGAATAGAAATTAAAGGCAGAATAGGAAACAATAAAAACAGCAAACACTCAAAAACATAAACCGTAATGAAGCAAAACAACAACAGATACCAGCCGTTAACTAAATGTTTTCAGCTTTAACCTTTTAACCTTTAAATACAAACCAACGATTATTGACATGAGAATAATAATCCTGATGAATCTGTTTTTGTTTTGTTGTGTGTTTTTCTGCAGAGGACAGGAAACCTCAGAGTCCTCTGAACAAACATCCTCTCCCTGCTCACAGATTATCTTCAGCCTCGTGACGACGCTGAGGAAACTCACAAGATGCGACGAGACGTTCAAAGACTGTCAGATTTTTACAAACCTATCCTTCTGTCTGCCTGTACTGGAACTGTAGACCCTCCAGGACTTGATTTAGTGAAGAAGAGGTGAAGGTAAAACACACAGAAATCCATGTTGGAGCTGCGTCTGTTTCCTTAAATTGCATCGGGATGGAATCATCTTGTAAAATATCTTGGCAGAGCTGGAAGTATATTTTTCTATGAATGTGCTTAATAAAGATTTAATAATGCAACAGAAAATTTATCTCAGTGGGAAAAGATTTCCAGATGTGAGAGCAGAGAAGGACGACAGATGTTCGTATAGAATTATAATGATAATAATAAAAAATATATTTTTATATGTGGATCTGTGTGTGTTCATGGCGTCTTACTGATCAATACTATTTAATACAATCTGACGTAGTGTCTCCGCACTGACAGGAGCAACAAGAGGTTCCTGGATCTGCATTGTGACTCGAAGGTTGCCGGTTCGATTCCTGGACCAACAGGATAAATCTGTGTGAGGGCAGTGAGACAGCAGCTTCTGCCCCTCCCTCCTTTCCGCAGATCAGGTGCTCTTGAGCAAGGCACGTCCCCCGGTCTGTGTGCAGCTGCTCAATGCAAACGCATCAGACTTCAGACTTCCCTGGATGAATAAAAACCCAATGAAAACAACATGTAATAGATTTTACAACAGAGTTTACAGTATTTAATATTTTAAATTCAACATTAAAACAGACTGTATTTGAAATTATGTTTGAACCTATTCTGCTCTGCATCTGTAGGAAATACCATCCTATTGGACAATGTGAAACTGTAACCACGGCAACCATTTTTGAGATGACAAGATTCACACCTCTCTCATATCTTTTAGCTTAGCATAGAGGCTAAGCTAAAAGATAGAGGAGAAACAGCCTGGAACCCCCCAAAATACCTCCTCATGGATATTTAAATTTCTTATATTTACATACAGACATCTACTTAAATTACAGTTACTAAACATTAATGTACAATATGTGAGAAATGATCCTATCAAGACATATTTTATATTATCAATAATCATCTTTTTACAGCATCTGCTTATAACAACATACAAATGTTCATTAAATGTTGTATATGCTGCTTTCACGTGTGGAAAACAGGACTGAGCTGTATATGAAAAGCAAATGCTCCTGTATGAGATGTTTTTTCCACATGTGATAAACAGGTGAAATGTGTTTGACGTGATGAATTCACTTGTGCTTTTTCACGCATTGCCACTGTAAAGAACCTGAACACATACAGGAAGTTTGTGCTCCAACAGAAGTTCATCAGAAAACCAACCAAACCTGGAAAACCGTCTCCGGTTTCACACTCATTAGCAGTTTTTCCTCTGAAGCTGAAGATTTAAAAAGGCAGAAGATGAGCCGTCAGCAAACAGCTCAAAGTCAACACAGGCCGTCCATTAAACCCTGGACCGTGTGAGTCCTGCTGAGACGCTGACTGACACTAGGTCAGTCAAACACCAGGTCATTGTTCAACACTCTCTTCAGGAAGCGTTTGAGTCATTTAGGAAGTCAGTGAAGTCCTCGTCCTCTTTTCTATTATCTGCCTCGTGTTCAGTCTGACAAACATCCACCTGGAGGAATCACAGAAACACATTCACTAACCCTAACCCGTGTTCACTGCTGACATCTGGGGAAACAACGACCCTGCTAAGTGTTTTATGATAGAGGAGATAATCAGAACTACAAACATGAGATCTGAGTTCTAATCAAATTGGATTATTAATTAGATTAACGAGGCTTCTCATAACATTTTCATTTCAATTAAATTCCTGTTCCTTTCCTGGTTATTGGACTGTAATGATCCAGCAGTGACTTCATGTCTGACCCAGTGATGGAAGCTTGTCTGTTCCCCATGCAGCCGTGTTTCACTGCATCTCATATTTTCCTGCTTGTTTGCAAAAAGAAAAAGTAAAAGAAAAACTCGCCACCAACAGAAATTCAAACTTAATCAACAGAAAGTAAAAAAAAAAAAATCAATTCTATTTGATGATGTTTGAAAAAAGGAAAAACAGAACAAAAACAGAGGGATCGAAAACAAACTTCCACCTGTGTCCTGTTTAATGTGGTAACGATATAAATGTTTTAAAAGTTTATTCGTCTTTACTAATGAAAACACGAGCAAACAAAACCTCTTTTACTGTGGTGGCCGTTAGATGATGAACTGTAACACACGTCATGTGTTCAGGTTATTGTTGCATCATAATAATAATAACAACAATAACAATAATAATAATACAATACTGCTTTACAGTAGAGAATGAAATAATGCAGTAAAGTAGAAGGACAATGAAATTAGACAATAGAAAGACAGTTGATCAATAAATATGTAAATGAAAATAAAAACTATATATAATATAATATAATAAATTGGTAAATTGGCATATATGAGATTATTTTGCTTTCCATTAAAGCTCATTGTTTTCATGCTGAACCCTCCACCCTCAGTGAAAACAGATATCCAATAACAAACTACCCGCACACTGTAATGAACACAAGAAAAAACTAACATCTTACTTGTAATAATGTCTGTTTCAGTTCGTGACAACATCGACTCCTGCACCTTTAATCACACAAAAAGCCGTTCTTGTTGTTTGTGTGTGTTGGCTGCTGTTACACTGATGTTCTGCAACATGACATTTAACCTCTCTGCCTGCTTGTTCCTCACACCCCCTGCTTTATCTCTGCCAGGTTAAACGTGTTGTAGTCTGTATTACCTCATCGCTCCCACAGACCGACCAGGCGGCGCCGCGGAGAGGAAAGTCGACTGAGCGTGAAACCGCAGGGAGCTGCCAGAATCACAAAACCTGCGCTCTGAATCGGCCGTAATTACAGCAGAGGTAGTTCATACACCCACAGTTATTTATATATTATTTATATTCCAACCTTCTTTAACTTTCATGTCAACATTTAAGATGATATTTGATCATGCAGCTTTGATGTAAATGCTCCCTGAAATAGAAATAAATTCATAAAAGTACATTAAAAACTGGTGAAGATTATCTGTTGTGGAGTGGTACATACAGTAAATGTGCTGTTGACAACCATTATTCAAGTTTTTGTTCCAAGTATAAAACAAATAATATACAACTAACCCAAACCAAGATCATTTCCTAAATCTAACCAAACAGTCCCACAACTTTAACCACAGGTTTATTATTGTTACCATGACGATGACGGTCTAGTACGCCTGTTGCTGGTAGGCCTACAGGCCTATGGGCTAAAGGTTATGGACAGATGTACATGGTTATTTAGGTTGGAGGACATGCTGTGTGTGAACACCAGCAAGTTGTAATAAAATGTGCTCTTGTTCTTCCCATTCTGCCAATATGGTGCAATCACAGCGATGAAGTGAACCGACCAACCACAGTGAAGCTAATGGGACGTGAAGCTAATATAACATTAGCAGGACTTAAGCAAATAACAATTCAATATCTGCTGACAAGGCAAAAACTAAATTGGGGCAAGTCTAATTCAACCAACACATCACAAAGCTAACATCAGCGATCCAGGATGAGCTAATCAGGCTAACATAAAGGTAACATTGGCAGGGCTAAACTACAGGCTGTCCAATATCAGCAGGGTTTTAAGTTCAAACATTATAACTTATTACCTTATAACATCACTAAAACAGGTTGCACCTCACAAACACACCTTCGTGCCTGGAGATTAGCTGTTACCAGTAAGGGTTTGTGCCAGGTTTTGTTTAGCTAACAGAACCAACTCACAAAGCTAACATTTGTGATCCAGCATGAGCTAACCAGGCTAACATAAAGGTAACATTGGCAGGACTAAACTACTGGCTGTTGAATATCAGCAGGTTTTTGATTTCAAACCTTATAACATAAGTGTTTAAGTGGAGATTCACAAATAAATAAGTTAAAATATAAACTAACGCAAACTAGTTCTTGCCTGGAGATTTGTTGTTATCACTAACTGCCGCCTTTTGTTTAGCTAACGGAGCCAACTGACAAAGCTAACATTAGCTAATATACGACCTGTTTAGAGTAAAAGAGATTTGGGCTACAGTTACATCTCCAACCTGAAACTTGATACTTACTCTGACAAATACATCATGTTAAAATACATACACTTACAATCTTTAGTGCCCTGAAACTGCATTTGTAAGTTATGCTAGCTAGTAGCCTAATGCTTCCTGCATACATAATTGATGACTCTTAATTAAAAGCTATCAGCGCTATTGATGTTCCCTAACAACCAGTTAACACAGTTACACATTAATCTATACTTGGCAAGACATTTTATAAGTTTTAATGATGCAACCTAACTCAGTAAATCACTCATTTAAAACTAGCTAGTTGGTACTAAGAACTTCAGAAGGACTTAATGTCTTAACGGCCTGGTAATATAATCAATTCAGTTCATTTTAAAGGAGCATACACTATTTATCTGTATGTTGTAAGTTAGTGTGACTTTGCCTGTTGGCTAACTGGTGCATTTACGGTTATGTTACTGTGCTCTGTGTGCCCTGTTAAATACATCCACAAAGTAAAATAATACATAACATTAAAAAGTCAGACTTAGATTGTTTGATTGTTTAGATTGTTTATGTGGTGTTACTATCACCCAGCCACTTAACATCAGCTAGCAAGACAGAAAACTACGGTATAATGATATTAGTGTGATAAACCTGTGAAGGTAAACTTCAGGTGGACTATCACCTGTAGCGATGGAGTCGGAGTGTACCAGAGTGTGACTTATCGTTCATGATCACTGATATTATCTCCACAGCTATTAATTACTGTTGACTGTTGTATTGTTGACGACTCACTCACTGGGATTCGTGACTGAGCGCCGTTATGGTTTTGTGTGAATACCTGGCTGCAGTCTTTGCCAGTGTACCGTAGCCAAACTCAAAGTGCGCCTCTGGCTAATTACTGCAAAACAACAACTTTGTGTTGCAACCCCCCCACCCCCATGTAAATTATGACGGCTTAACTTGTCAAAGAATCTCCTTTTTTTTCATCTCAGGTGATGGCAGTTTCCTCCTTCTCAGAACAGCTTTAACTTTAGTGTGAGATCTAGTTTTAAAACATGATTTTACTTGATTTTCTTTCTGTTATTTTTGGTTCTGCATCCACGTGCGCTGAAGCAAAGCCCATTGTTGGGTCCATTTCATCCCATTTAACCGTCTTCCTAAAAATGCACTGTACAATGCAGTGGTGGAACGTAGCTGAACACATTAACTCAAGTACTGATCACAATTTTGAGGTATCTTTACTTGAGTATTTTGTGTTACCTTATACTTCTACTTCACTACCTTTGGGCTACGATTGGGCAACATTAACCCTTAT